AGAGATATAAACCTACATATTCCATTAATATTTATATTGTTTAAATGTTTTTATTAAATTCATTCAGAGAAACCAATAACCCACACAAGAAAAACAAGTCCATTTTCACTTGGTCAAAGTTTGTTTGCTTATTTTTGGTGGCAAGTGGCCATTATTCATTTTTCATGATTCTGAATTCCCTTTGACTACTTCCAAAATTCAAAACTATCATCATAAATCCAAAATTTATCATAATGTGCATTCTTCTATACATGGTGCTGGAACACTGAAAGTAATTTTGATAGCAAAATTCCAAAATATTTTCCTTAATGGTGTATGTTCAGAAAATGAACACTCTTTGAAAGGAAAACTTTGAAATGTAACACATACAATTTAATAAATAAATTTAAATATTTTAAAAGCTATTACATTTATATTAAAATTTCACCAGTCAAAATTTTATAGATACCAAACATTACCTAATGATTAATAAATAAAGAAAATGGTGAGTATATGATTCATAAATAAATCTATAAAAATTACTGGTATATGGATATACAATGAAGCCCAATTGGAGCAGTCTTAAAACCAGTAATCCTATATTAGAAAATTCTTAATTAAGATGTGCATCACATTTGTGATATCAAATGCAAATTGTACTTCAAAATAAACTAGAACCAATTCTAAGGCACTTAACAACAACAATAACAACCCTTAGATTAACAGAAGTACTTTGTTCATCAAGGAGAAAGAAAGCCTTTGATTTTTATAAATGTGTGTGTTTTTGATACTTGCACCTCTTGTTTTTAAAGAGTCTAGTTTTAAACCCTGCCTTGCAGATCCTTTGTTCTCACAAAGTGGCAGAGTCTCAGAGATTTATTATTAGATTCTTTTAGATGCAAAACTCTCACCTGTTAATACATTTGACAATAGCTATTCTATGTTACTGCCACTTGTCTTGTCAGTTTGTTGTACCATGTTGGCTTGTGGACAGGTTTCAGCTGAGCTTCCAGACTAAGACAAATTAGGAAGGAAAGGCAGACTACTTCTGAATGGTGGTTGTTATTGTTGTTGTGATGTGCCGTGGAGTTGGTTCCGACTCATAGTGACCCTGTACAGGGTTTCCGAGGCTGTAAATCTTTACGGGAGCAGAAAGCCGTATATTTCTTCCAAGGAGCAGCTGGTAGTTTCAAACTGCTGCCCTTAATGTTCACAGCCCGATTCGTAACCACTACGCTACCATTGAAAATCTTATGAATAACAGTGAAAGAGCCCCAATGAGATGGGTTGGCACAGTGGCAGCAGCAATGCGCTCAAGCTTAACAACGATTATGAGGATGGCTTATGACAGGACAGTGTGTCATTCTGCTGTGCATAAGGTCACTATGAGTGGCAACCAACTCGACAGCACCTAACAACAATTCTGTTAATGGATATCATCGCAAGTTATTATATAGTTTATTATGTGAAAAAATAAAACCCAGAGTGAATGGTTTTTTCTGATATAGATTATTAATACTGATGTTATTAACTGCTATTCTGCCATAATCTAATCTGTTGATAAAAAAAAAAAAAAAAAACAAACTGTTGACTGTGGTGGCATTATTCCTAAAGTTGACTATGGTAGAACTATTCCTATAATAAGATATGTAAAACTTGGAGAGGTTAAAAAAAAATAAAGGAGTTTTCCTGTCATTTCATGTCAGGAAAAAAATTTTGTAAAGCCTCTATTCTGTTGTACTATAACAATTGTTGTCGTTGTTAAGTGCTGTCAAGTCAATTCCGACCCATAGTGGCCCTGTTTAGGGTTTCTGAGGAGCAGCTGGTGAGCTTGAACCACCAACCTTGCAGTTCAAACGGCTTTGCAGTCTGACGCATTAACCCACAGCACCACACCAAGACAATAGCACCTACCAATTCATTTAATAGCATTGTGAACTGCAGTGTTTAACCTTGGTGCCATACTATCTCCCTAGAGAAACTGCTGAGACAATGACCTCTCCAATGGCTGGTACTCTCACCCTGTCCTTGAGAACATGTACACATCAATGAAGATATACTCATAAAGGAACATATACTCATGGCATTAAAACTATGTTATTAGAATTTCTTCCAAGCAACAGGAGTGTTCAAATCAGTGGTTCCCTTTTCATTTTCTTGTTTCTTATCTTCTTAATATCTTGGTTATGGAAATAACTGGATGCTTTAAATACATTTGCGGCCGATTGTATAAGTCTGCTCTCAGGAATAGTATAAGTAATTTTGAATTATAGATAACAAATTATAAAGTGATGTGAAACTAATTTTGCCATTTTGTCAAGGATTTCTTATTATTTTCCCTCCTACAGGTTTTCAAGCTAGTTACACATCTGAAACAAAATTTTCAACCTGTAGTTTCCAATAACCAGGTTAATTCATGTTATGCTTTAGTGGGCATAGGACAAATTGGGCACAAAACAGAATAGAAAAATAAGAGATGGAAGGGAAGACAGTGAAAAGAAAGGGGAGAGAGAGGAGAGACAAGATAGAATAAGGGAAAGAAAAGAAGGAAAAAAGAAATAATTTCACAAACCTCTTGGCTTATTTTATTGTTCAAAAAATGTGTGTGTGTATATATATATATATATCCTAGTATAGCACTGTGGGTTAATGCACTGGACTGCAAGGTTGGTTTGAACTGCAGGGTCGGCAGTTCAAGCTTACCAGCCACTCCTCAGAAACCCTATACAGGGTCACTATGCGTCTGCACTGACTCAGAGACGCTTAACAACAAGATATATATAGATATATAGATATAGTTCCTTTTATTAATCCAGTTCAGTTGTTGGCAGTTACTTGGGAACAAATCTTAACTATACTGTATAAGTTCATGAAACTGTCCCAGGGGTCACCAGAGAAATATACCCTGTAAGATATGTATAAAAAAAGAGAGCTTTATTTTAAGGAATTGACTGACACAAGTGTGGGGCTTATGAGTCTAAACTCTGTAGGTCAGACAACAAGGTAGAAGTTTTAGCAGTCTCATGTCCAAATTCAGGTCAGGCAGCAGGCTGGGCATTCCACGAGGATGTCTAGTCAGTCTTGAGTCGGAATCCTTCTTCCTCTGGAAACCACAATTTTGTACTTAAGGCCTCTAACTGATTGAATGATGTTTTCCACATATGGTGTATGTATAACAGTAGTAACAGTAGTTGTCATAGTAGCATCAAACTTCTGGGGAATAATGAGCAGGTTCAGCCTAGAGCTACCCTCCAAACTTTTTGCCAGTTTTGATACCATCCCTTCCTCCCACGATACTCTCTACTTCTCTTTTGAGTTTAATAATCCATTGTACTGCAGAACTCACAGACCATACTTACAATTAAATGATCTATTAAGAAAGTAGCAGGGTATGATTCAGTCTTGCGAGTCCTCTCAGCTCCTTTCAACCTTGCTGTCCTTCAGGACAGGTCTCATCAAAACCTCCTCAGGCCAGACTTCACTCAGTCTCCTTAAGGGTGAGCTTCTCTTGGCCCTGCTGTCAGTCGCCACTAGATACGCTGCATGCAGAGCCCCACTGGGCCTGTCTGCCTTGTGTCTGACACTGGGTGTCTTTCAGCTCTGCCGCCACCAACTTTGCTGCTAGATGTCTTCTAGTCCCTGACCTGTGTCACAATGCTTTAGAAACTCCTGGTCTCCTTTCTTTCTCTGCTTTTCTCTTCTCTCCTATTTGTCTCTTTTCTGCTTCTTCCTGCTTCTTGTTTTTCTGCTTCATAAAGTCTCTGAAACCTCCTCATCAGTTTCAAGCAGGGCCCTCTCAGAAGCATCAGTAACTGAGCAATTCCCTCTGGTAGGCCACATTTTGTTTGCATAGTATACAGTTTTTGGCAAGATGCTGTATCATGGCAGATACTTCATTTGTATAGTCTAATGATCAATCCCTGGAAGATGCATACAAATCATAGGCAGGCTGCAGCCTAGTGCCAGGCAAAATATATCAAACCATACTTTTTACAGTATACCCAGTAAATGTTCATCAAAAGGACAAAAGTAACAAACTCTGTTAGATAGAAAACTAGGACAAAGTTAACTCCTCAGGGTTTGTTGTTGTTAAGTGGCTTTGAGTTGGTTCTGACTCAGTGACCCTGTATAGGGTTTCTGAGTTTGTAAGTCTCAGAAAGAAGAACAGAAAGCTCTTCTTTCGAGGAGAGGCTGTTAGGCTCAAACCACTGACCTTGTGGTTTGCAGTCCAGTGGCTCCCTTTTCAGGGATTGTACTTGTTAAGTACTGTCAAGTTGATACCTACTCATAGCGACAGACTCTGTATAGGGTTTCCAAGGAGTGGCTGGTGGATTTGAACAGCCAACCGTGCAGTTAGCTGTCCAGCACTTATCCTATAGCACTGTACCAGGAACTCTCCTCAGAAGAACTTTCCTCAAAGGAAAAATATGTCAAGTTTTGTTTTTTTTCTCCAAAGAACCAAAGCAAAGCTCCACATATAGGATCTCATTTCACCACAAGTAGTACTATTTTATTTTGTTGTTAAGTGTCATTGAGTCAATTCTGACTACTAGTGACCCTATAAAATGTTTCCAAGAAGGAACTGGTGAGTTTGAACCACTGATCTTGTGGTTCAATCCTACCTTGCATTCCAGAGCTTATCCTACAGTGCCACACCAGGACTCCATCTAATACATATGAAAATGCATTCATAGCAACACCCGGCCTAGTGTTTGACCGAACAAGTAACATCACAGTCTAGAAAAATAAACCCGTAAAATTAACCATCACACTACCCACTGCTGTTCTGTGGTTCAACTAGACTAAACTTTATTGATGATTACCTGTCCCTGACCTTCATGATTATTGGGATTATAATTTTTTAATTACTGACTTTAGGATGAAACTTATTTGTTTTTCTCTGAGAAAAAGATATTTTATGGTCATTTGCTGCTGCCATCCTCTCAGATTCATTAAGATTTTTTTCTTTTACAATCTTAGTTCTGATATAGTTTCATATAAAATATGCCTTTCTATTTCAGGTCTAGATGTTGATGGGATATATCGAGTTAGTGGCAATCTGGCCACAATACAGAAGTTAAGATTTATCATCAATCAAGGTAAATAATTTCTTCATTTCAGTCATTTTTTCCATTTATTTCATCTCTAAAATGTTTCAGCTGTGCTGTATGTACTGTGAATATAATGATAAAAAGCTTTAACAGAATAAATGAGAAAGTTGAAGAAATTAAAATCCTATCTACCTAGATAGGAATGGAATAGCGTGAAGAACTAATAGTTTATGTGAAATCCATAATGAATAGAACATAACAAACTAAACATGGAAATGAGAAAATAATCAAAGAAAGAGCAAGCGTCCAGCTTCAACAAATGTTACTGGTATACAGTGGGCACTTAATATTTGTTGATAAATGAGTTGACAGTTGAATGATGGAATATTTAGGAATGTGTCAAAGTCACAGATGTCAAAAATATATACTAGGTAAAGGAAATAATTTGAAATATGGAAATAATGAAGAATAACAAGAAGATGTAAGCATCTTTAGTTGTTAGCTTTTCAAGTTGACCCTCGATTCAAGGTGACCCCATGTACAACAGAACAAAAAGCCATCTTTTTTTTAAAAGTCTATAATTAGTGACAGATCAGGCCATTGTGATCCCTAGAGTTTCCATTGACTGATTTTCAAAAGACATCACCAGGTCTTTCTTCTTAATCCATCTTACTCTGGAAGCTCTGCTTAAACCTTTTCAGCATCATTGTTGTTAAGTGCCATCGAGTTGATTCTGACTCATAGTGACCTTGTATAGGGTCTCCTAGGAGCAACTGAAGGGTTTGAACTGCCCACCTTGTAGTTAGCAGTCCACTGTTTATTCTACAGTGTGACACCAGAATTCCTTTCAGCATCATTGTTGTTGTTGTTGTTAAGTGCCATTGGGTCAGTTCTGACTCATAGCAACCCTGTTCTGAGGAGCGGCTGTTGAGTTTGGAGCACAGATCTTACTGTTCAAACTGACCTTTTGGCCCAGTGCTTTTTCCTGCAAAGCCACATGGGTGGTGGCTGCACATGAGATGCAATAGTGAGGGATCAAACTTGGGTCTCTTTGAATGGAAGGAAAGAATTCTACCCTTGAACCATCAATGTTTGCTAAAAATCTTAAATTCGTGTTATAGATAGCTCATAGGTTTTAGAATCAGCAAATGGATAGAACCTAGGCTCAGTCTCCTTGTGTCCTTGGAATCTCATTTAACCTCTCTGTATTCCTGTTCCTCATCACTCAAACCAGAAGGGAATTGCATTAATAACATCTGTGAGAATTAAGTGAGATATACGTGGCATTCCTTTAGGATCATGTCAGACTTATGGTGTTTACCTAATACATGGTAATTTTCCTGTCACTCAAAAATTATAAACATTAAAATTTGAAAGTCTTAGAATAAAAAAATAGGATACTAGTTGAGTCATCAGTCTCTTCTATGATTCTGTCCATACCTAAAAAGCTAGGGTTTTAATTACCCTTGTATCCTCACCCATTACTCAGTACTAGACCTGGGGTTTCCATATGAGGATTTTGAAAACAGTAATTGCTGAATAATATGTGTGTGTATATGTTTTCAGGTATTAATATTGGGAAGCATTAAACTCTTCAGAACTTTGGTTTGAAATGTTCAGTCCTGTCTTCATTACATTTGCCTGGTCACCACATGAATCTATATCTGAGAATCTCTATTACTAAGAATCTCAACAGCTCTGCTTATTCACTAATGCAAGCCTTTGTCTTTCAACATTTACCCTCCCTCCTGGGCAAAACACAAAACTAAACTTTACCTCATTTATTCATATCAGTTCCCTTTGATTGAAACAGAGTCCCCTCCCCTCTCTGCGGGTAACATTGGATAGAATAGCCCAGCCTCATTTTCATTCCTGTTTATAACCAGCTAAAATCATTCTTGTAATATATGAGCGTGTTGAAACCATATCCTGATTGGGATTCTAGACAGCTGGGCAACACATTTCTTCTACAAAAAAGAAATCTGAAAACAGAAGCCATGCTAGAAACAAACACTAGTTGCATTTCCTGCCTGTATAGAAATTATGCTCAGCAGTTTAAAAAGGCAGTGAAAAAGTCTGCAATGAAAATATGAAATCTCCATCATGTCTTTTCCAATTCAAACTTGAGCATCCTCTGAGGCTATGTAACTGCTCATGTTTCCATGAGAGTTGACAATGTAAAGCTGGACAGAGGCCTGAGTTGGTATCTGGAAGCACAGGATTGTCAGTAAACTGTCTCCCTGGTTTATAGCACTGTCAGAACGGAACACACTCAACACAAATTATACTACATTAGGATTTTTGATATTGGTGACTTTGCCCAAGTTGTGTTGTGTAGGTTTGTTTTTTTTTTTAATTAGATAAAAGAAATGCATACACCAGCCCCTCTCAAATTTTGTTAATCAGATTATCCTTTGAATGAATTTTCTGGACTGAACCCATAAACTCATTGCTTACATTACATCTTCCCCTTCGTTTATTCTCCAGGCCTTGACAGTATAACTGACCTGGAAGAGAATCAAGGTTGTATACAGAGGCTGAATGTGTGTGCTTGTGTCGTTGCTTCTGTGCATGTGGTTGTGTGTGTGTATGTGTGTAATGAGATAAAATGGCAATGAAGGTAGTAATTCCTTGAAAAGTAGAGTGCTAGGTGTAAAAGCACCATGGGAGCCATGTCTGACTTCCTTTGCCTTCACAAGGATGAAGGAGAATCAAACTTAAAATCAACCCAAGGCCATTTCCTATGAAGTAGAGATCAGACATGCCTTCTCCATACAACCTTCTTTACCCTGTTTCGACACCAACTATCCCTCCCACAGCATCCTTAGCTCTCTGCTGAGTACAATAATCCTTTGCAATGGCCACAGAGAACTCAGAAACAGTATAGGGTTTAGTGGCAGCATGCTAGTGCCATACGGTAAGCACAGGACTGCAAACCACAAGGTCCACGGTTTGGGCCTGCCAGCTGCTCCATGGGTGAAAGATGAGGCTTTCTGCTTTCTTGAAGATTTAAAGTCTCAGAAACCCTGTAAAGGATTACTATGAATTGGAACTGACTCGGCAGCACTTAACAACAACATGGAGTTTATTAAGGAAGTGAACAGGGTATTATTCAGGATCAGCACAACTCAGGATGCAGTCAGGAATGGCTCATCTCTACCATACTGCAGCACTCTTCACTCTTGTCTTTGGTCTCTCAGTCAGCTTGGGCAAGTGTTACAAAGATCCATTAACCAGTCTCTAAATGCCCAAAAGCACTTTCTGTAAGCCAGCCTCCTGCCCATAGGCATTAAGCTTTAGTCTGGCCATGGGCTTGAAGCCAGTAGGTACATTGTCTCCATGTTGCTGCTTTGACTGCCACCTCTGCTGCTGCCATCTTCCTGGGCAGGGACCTCACACTCCCCTCCCTCATCACTTTTCTTTCTTGATGGTCCTGGATTGTCTTTACCTGCTCAAAAAGGAAAAGCAACTAAGATTATCATCATTTATTACTTTTAAGGTACAATAATAACTGTTTGATTTATATTACTTAATTCAATATTTTCTACCCTCCCATAGAATTGTGGTTGTTGTTGTTGTTAAGTGCTGTCTAGTTGGTTCTAACCCATAGTGACCCTGTATAGGATTTCCAAGGAGCACCTGGTGAGCTTGAACTGTGTGTCTTGCTGTCCAGTGTCCAGTGCATTAGCCCACCACACCAGGACTGCATCCCATAGAATAGAAACTATTTGTATTCCCATTTCAAAGATGAGGAAACTGAGGCGTATTGTTGTTGTTGTTAAATGCCTTCAAGTCAGTTCAGACTCATAGCAACCTTGTACAGGGTTTTCAAGGCACAGCTAGTGAGTGTAAACTGCTGAACTTGTGGTTCAAACTGACCTTCCGGTGCAGTGCTTTATCCCACAACTCTACATGAGGACTCCAACTGAGGCTTGATGTTGTTGTCAGGTGCCATCGAGTCGGAACCGACTCATAGCGACCCCATGCACAGCAGAACGAAACAATGTCCGATCCTGGGCCAACCTCACTACC